TTTTTAATTTTTTTTTGAAAATACTTTTGGCGGAGATTGCTTCTCACCGCTAAAAGTAATTACAAAAATTATTTTAATTTTTTAATTATTTTCTATGAAAATATTTGGTGATGGCTGCTTGTTCCCACTAAAAAGTAATTACATAAATTATTTTTAATTTTTATGAAAATACTTTGGTGGTGGTGATAGTGTATTACTGCTAAAAGTAATATATAAATTATTTTTCATTTTTTAATTATTTTCTTATGAAAATATCTTTGGTGGGCCATTGTTCATCATCGCTAAAGGAATTACTAAAATTAATTTTTAATTATTTTTTATAAAAATACTTTTGTGGTGATAATTTGTCACCTCTAAAAAATAATTACATAAATTATTTTTAATTTTTAATCTTTTTTATTGAAACTAATTTTGGTGGTTACAGTTTATCGCCGTTAAAAGTGATTTTTAGAGGTAACAATTAAATATCACTGTTAAAAGAGCGCTTTTGATAACGACAATTAAAAGTCATCATTAAAAATAACTTTTAGCAGCAGCTGTTAGTCTACTTTTAGCGGTGATGTTTACTTGTCACTATCAAAAGTAGACATTTAACAATAATTTCTTTTGTCGCCCCCCCACCCAAGTTATTTTTTTGTAGTGCAAAACCCATCTTAGAAAGAGTTATTATGGTAGGAAGGATTGACCTTAGTCAAATTTCTAAATAAAAAAACTAAGTATAAAACCTTTTAAATTAGGATCCCAAAATTCAATTATCACAAATAACATTTTAATATAATTTTCAGAAAAATGTATATGTAAGTTTTTTTTTAGATAATGAAATTTTTAGTCCTTTAAATTTATCTCAATTATTAATTTGGTCTGTCAAATTTAATTTTTATTGAATTAGTCCCTCAAGGTTGCCATAGCTATTGATCTAATCATTATCATTTAAAGAACATGTAATACTATTATAATATATTTACATGGATAATAGAATAGTGATGACATCCATATAAATTAATGACAAAAATGTAATTATTTAGATAAAAAAACATACCCATACATTTAAAAAATAAATTAAATAACATATTGCAACATGGAGAACAAGGTTAATTTCTTTTTTTTTTGGTCAAAAAGTGACAGTTAGAAAATTATCTTTATTTTAAATTCTATATCTATTAAAATATTGGGATAATGCATCTTTAAGTCACTCAAATTTGTTTCGGTTATTAATTTGGTTCTCTTTTTTCCCAAAAAAAAGTTACCAATTTGGTCATTTCAATTTAAATTTTATTAATTTAGTTTCTTAAGTTTATTTCGATTATTGATCTTGTTCTTATTGTTTAAAAGAATGCTACACTATCAAAATTTTCTAATATGGATAATATAATATTGATGACTCATATAAATTAATTAGAAGAAGTATAATTGTTTAAGCAAAAAAAATTTAAAATTTTAAAAAAACAATAGAATATTGATGACAACCATGTAAATTAATTAGAAGAAGTATAATTGTTTAAGCAAAAAAATTTAAAATTAAAAAAAAAACAATGTAAGGGATTTGATTGATAAAAATTAAAAATAATTTGAACATTAATTTATTCTCATTTAGCTACATATACTTGTCAAGTCATTAATATACTTTGCATATTATATTATTTGAAAGCCAATTTGTATTTAAAAATGTAAATGACCCACATGATAATTAAGAAAATATAAAAATCAAATCAATAAAAATTAAATTAAAGAACCAAATCAATAACCAAATAAACAAACTTGAGGGATTAAAAATGAAGTGAAAAAAAAAAAAATTGAACTGACAGTCAAGATTTTGGTGGTCATCAGTCATCACCACAGATGAGAATGCCACTATTTTAATGTTGGGTGCTCATATAAGGAAAGTGGCAATAAATTTATTGCTAATGTTGTGAAAAAATTAAAAACATAAGCATTTTCCCTTAGCCGACATGATATATTTGGTGTGCATTTAACGGAGAAATGCAGAAAATAGTGTATGATATCATACTGATACCGAATGTACATGTTAAAAAAAAATTATATATAGATCCCATGGACCATACTTATTTATAAATAAGTCTTGTGAAATTTAAAAGCTATAGTTAGATCCCAAGAGACTTAAGTGTAATTTAAAATTAGGATAAAAATATAATAATGTCCCTATTAACATATATAATAATTAAACAAATTTAATGATTAAACATTTCAACTAATAATGAAACTACTTTATCAGTAGTTTAGAATTTTAATTTTAATTTTTACAACTGTAATTTTATAATCCAATAATTAAATTGATCTGTTTAAATATTGAATATATAAAATTATAATTGTAAAAATTAAAATTATAGTTGTAAATTACTAATGAATCAGTTATAGATAATTAATGTTAAATTTTGTTTAACACATGATTGTTTAACTATTAAATATATGAAGTTACAACTGTAAAAAGTTAAAATTATAATTATAAATTGCTGATGAGATAGTCATAAGTTAATGTAATGAATATTTAATAAGGATATTATTATCTTTTGCAACCTAATTTTAATTACACTCAAGTTTTAAGAGATTTGGTTACATTTTAGTTTTTGAATTTTGTAAAATTTATTTGTAATAAATCCACTTCACGATACCTATATGTAATTTTTTCTAAAAAAATTAAAAGTCTTGCTTTTATATATATTAACATGCTATTATTTAATTAAATCAAAATAAATGAATTTTATTGTGTTCATAATATTATAATAAATTTTTTTGTAAATAAATAATCTATAAAATTATATTTTTTATTTAACTAAAAAAATAATTTTTAAATATATAAGATTAAGTATATAATTTTTTTCTAAAAAAATAACATGTTGATAAATCACTTTAATGTTGACAGGATCTAGTTGTACGATAGTTAATAAATAATTAATGTGTCCTTTGTTAGAATAAGTCAAACTTCTTGTATTAATCGACCACTTCCTCGGCAGTTTAGCGCAGAGCAGTTTACCCCAAAACCAAAGTGCTATGTAGTTGGTAAATTGCTAGCAGGGAGAATTTCTGTTAAAGAATAAAGAAGGGATTTAATTTTTATGGGTCCAAAAAATTTTAAAATTTCAATTTAATCTAAAGGAGAAAAATTACAAAAATTTCAACAATGAAAAGACCCAAACATCCTTTACTTATGCAAAATCACTAGTTATTAATTTTCTTACTTCACTTTTAAATTTATGAATATGAGTTATAAATTATATAAGTTGATATGTCAATAATTATATAAGACTTGATATCAGTTGTTCAATTATAAGTAGCAATATCAATTATTAAATTGCTAACTTTACTATTAATTCCCTAACATTAGTTGTAAATTACTGATAGGCATTGTAATTTACTAATATTAATTGTAAATTAAGTGACAGGTTGTAACTTACAAACTAATGTTAGTAAATTAATAATTAAAATTAGCAAATTAACAACTATATTAATAATTGTTTGACAACAGATGTAATTTATAAGTGATATTAGTAAATTAATAAATGTAATAAGAAATTAACAATTAACAATTAATGATTCTGCATAATAAATAGAGGGTATTTTAGTCTTTTTACTGTTAAAATTATTTTAGCTTTTGTTTCCTTGACTGAACTTAAATTTCAAAATTTTTTGAATCCACCTAAAATTAAGTTTTTATGATAGTTCTTAATTGAAATTCTCCTTTGTTAATAAGACAACTTTCATTTATCGTCAAAATGAAAGTTTTTACTTATGAAATATAAAAATTTAAATAAATATTTAATTGGCATGAAATAGACATATTTTACCATTCACAAGCGCTTGGCTGACGTGAAAAAGATAAGAAGAAGAGAAAATCAAAAGAAGAAAAATAAAGAGATAAAAAATTTTCTTATTAAGCTTGGCTGAACAATTAAAAAAAAATAGAGAGAGATGAAAAGTCATTAATTTTAATTTTAAATTTTATTTCAGAAATTATTAAATATATAATAATTTAAAAAGTTTAAACTATGTACAATCAAATCAAATATAAGAAAATGGTCCCAGACAAATCTTCAAAGCGCTTTGTTTCTAATCACAAAATTTTCCAATATCCTAAAACATATTTTTTTTAATTTCCGTTGGTTCCAAAAAAGTAGTCTTTCCCTTTCGTTGAAGTTTCTTCTATTCTACTCTACAAACACACACACACAGAGTCTTGAACACATAAATAAAGAATGAGTGTGATCGTACTATACTTTAAAAAATTTAAGACAAGCGTTAACATACCACGTAAGATGCTGAGCATAAATCCTGAATCCAAATCAACACAATTCATCCACAAATTTTGACGACTAGATGTGAGCTAGGTGCATATACCAAACCAACAAAACTTTCTGATAAATTATGGCTTTAAAAATAAATTTTTCATTATTATTTTTTCCTTTTAATTTTCTTCCACCCAAATATACTACAAACAAGAAAGCTGCTACGTACATGTTTACTTTAACTTATTTAGCTCTGTATTGAATACAAAAATTTTAAAACTACTGACAAAATACTATAAAAGTCAAGCCCATTTGGCTAAAAGAGACATTAAACCAGCTCCTAAAAGTAGAGAAAAAGTTGCCCTAAATTGAAGGTGAGTACTGTTTAGCACTCTATCGTTCATAAAATCTGCAGCTAGAAGATCAACAAGAGCCATATAAATTAAGATTCCTGCCGAAGCTGCATTGAAAATTCCTTCAAAAATCAAAGCTTTTTGACTATTCTCATCGTATCCTTCACTAATCGCCATACCAATTCCTATTCCCACCGGTGTAGTCAGAGCGAAGAATAATCCCATAATTGCGATGGCATTGTTCTCGAATTTTGCCTGCAATTATATATCATGAATAAGAATTTCAACAACTTATAAAACTTTGTCTTCAGTAAAATGATTGTGTATATTTTTTTGTTCTCGAATGCTGCATTAAAATTTCTGTGAGTTTCTTTATAAAATAAAAAAAGATAAAATAAATAATTTTATAAGAATGGTACTTCCCATGTTTATTCTAAATATTACTACACTTGTTTCAGAATAATAATTTCTTGCAAAATTTAATAAGTATTTGACAAAGATATCACTATTTTCATTTTATTAAAAATTTAAAATGATTATTTTAAACCAGAGAAAGCATAAATTAGAAAGTTAAAAAAAAAAAAAAAAAAAGCTTTCTAGCTCCATTTCTTGTACTATCATGTTATTTGAGCACCAAAGCCTGGTCCTTGTGGGCAGTGGCGAGCTACCGCTAAAAACTAGTCCAAAAGTAACATGAGACCTAACTTTGGTGCTCACTGAGATCTAGATTATTTAGATTTTGATTTGAATAATTTAAATTTAAAATATTATTATATTATGTTTATTAAAATAAAAAATTATAAAAATAATTTTAATAAATTGTTTTATTTTTAATATAATCTAGATTTAATTTAACAATAAAATTTTTATAATTGGTATATTGACTATTCAAATATACTATGCACAGTTCACATTAACACCAGATTAAATTTAAATTGTATAGTAATATAAGAAATTTATAAAATTTAAATATTAAATTAAACCCTCCAAAACTAATCTATGTCAAATTATAAATAAAAATTAATAAAATTATTTTTAATTTTTATTTTAATAAATATAAAATAAAAAAATATAATAATACTTTAAATTTTAGAACATCCAAATCTGATCTAGATGGTCCAAATCTCATTAGTACTAAAACCAAGTGGCCCACTGGCATGCAATGGACCACTTTGATTCCCATGATGTTTCAAATCTTATGACTTTTCCACAAATGAAAGCTCCAATAATTAATTACTGTATCTATTCAATTAAGGGGGAAATTATTAGGTTGGTGGTACTATGATCAGCTAATAATCCTCCCAATTATGTGTTTAATCTTTCGGATATTTACCCCAAAAAAAAAAAGACAATTCTCTCTATATATATATATATATATATATCCTCCTTTTGATTAGTTTTATTTTATTCTATATATAAGGCAAATATATAGTGATTATATCTTTTTTCAATATTACCCCTCTTTAATTGTACCAAATTATAATCCTCATGCTTTATTGTGATATTAATTTTAGTGAAGAAAATTAGTCTATCTTAATTTCCTTTAATTTCTTTTGTAATATCTCTAACTTTTTTATTGCTCATAGGCTAGGTTGCACGGATACTGATACGAGTATCCAATACATCGATACTTTCATTTTTTTTAATATATGATACATTTCAATACATATATATATTTATAAAATATTAAAAATATAATTTTAATTTAGAAATATTCAAATTGGCTACATATATAGTCCTTTATAATAATACCAGTCCAATATAATCATTAATTGTATTTTTACTTTATTTATATCTAATTGCTTACCACCTAGTCCCTATCAATAGATATAGTATCAATATTGCATCCTCCTCAAACCATCATAAGATTACATTTTTCACATTTTTATAATTAAGAAAATGTAATATTTAAACTTATTTTTTTAAGAAAAATCTAATCTTTGACTTTAAAAGAAAATAAAAAATGATTTAGTAATAAAAGTTTAATATTGCAAGTTTTGATAAATTTAATTTTAAAAATTTTTGGTTTTCAAGTATTAATTAGCAATCTAGAAATATCGGATGCATATCAAAAATTAAAATTTTTTAACATTAAAAATATTATTTTGATACTTTATAGATATGTATTAAAAAAGTATGGATCGAATATAATATCGATAGGAATATGTGAAATAATTTGAAGTATTGGTGTTTAATAGGTATATATATGTCAGAAGGTAATCTTATGTGAGCACTCTCTCTCAGCTAGGATTTAAACTTGGCTTGTGACGTTGGACTGGCTAGCCACCTTGGCTAATAAACTAAACTCCAGTTACCAGTAGAAAATATCTTATATTCTAGTCAGAAGAAACCCACACACCTGAGTGATACAGCTTCCAAGACCCATGCCTTCAAAGAATTGATGAAAAGTTAAAGCAGCGACCAGAGGTTTTATCTCTTTTGGATCCTCGGATGCTCCCAAAGATATTCCTATTATCACTGAATGCACTATTATCCCAAGCTCCAACACCTGTATATAATATCATTCAAACCACAGCCATCGCTTTCATCACATATATTCTTTGAAAACTAATGAGTGATGAAGAAGATTACACAGTTATTATACATACTTGTGATATTACTCTGTGACGAAGAAGTTGAGACGAGCCAGAAGAATAATCCGATGACAACCCATGAGCATGATCATGTGTTGCGCGAACGTGAACATGAACATGTTCTGTATGATCTTCTTCTTGGTCTCCGATCGCCTCAGTTTGTTGGGTTGTTCTCATGTGAAATTTCTTGAAATACACAGTGCCAAGAGCATCCACCATGAGGGTTCCCATGGCCGTACACATAGCCACGAAGCCTGTGAAGGGAAATTTCCATGGATGATCACCCAAGCGAGGAGACCTCAACTTGTCGAATGCATCAGGGAGCACGTGAATGAATCCAGTGGACAGTATCACGCCGGCGGCGAAGGCCTTGATCATGAAGAAGATGTCATTCTCGGGGCTTAATGCCGGCAGAACTTTCCAATGCTTGGAATCGAAACTCCGATTGCACTCGCCACGAGTATGGAAGCTATGGCTGCTATTTTGTAGCTGAGAAGGGCTTTGTCATCATGTTTGTCGTCTTCTTTATCACATGTACAGTCTGAAACAACTAGGGTTGGAAGGCCTAGTAAGAGGAAGAAAAAGAATGTGAAGATTCGGGTACTTTGGACATGGCGGAGGGAAGTTATCTAGAATAAACTAGAGGACCAGATAAAGTGCGTGTATATCTTTTTTTAAAGAAAAGTGCGTGTATATAAGAGAGAATTGTGTGGTTTTAGTTTAGTTTATGTCTTTTATTTTTATGAATAATTTAGTTTATTTTTATTCTCAATTAATTCTAGTGTAACCACGACGTGTGTACAAACATTTTAATTTGTAAAGTATTTAAGTTCCTTCAGCAACTAGAAAATAAGTATTTTTGTGAGATATTTAAAATATTTTATTTAAAATTACATAAAAAATCTACAACACATAATATGAAAGGAGGATTAAGATTTGAATGAAATAATTAAAGTAAATTAGATATTTAAAATTTTAAAGAAATTATTAAATTTTTTGTATTAATTTTGGCGTCATTGTCATGTAAATTAGACGCCAAAATATTTGTCAGTTAAGGAGGAAATGATACAAATATAGTAGCATTAAATATTTAAATTAGTATCATGCACTTCTCAGTTACGACCATATTTAGGTGCTTTGATACAGAGTTATGATGATTTTAACAAATTAAAAACCTTGCATTTGACGGGGAAATCTGAAAATAGTGTATGATTTAATGCTATGCATAATATACATGTTATAAACAAAAGATAACAGAACATATCCAGTATCCATAAATCACCCTAATGTCGACCTGGACGTATTGCACGATAATGAATAAAATGATCAACTTTTCCTTTGTTGGAATAAGATAAGGATTAGAGGGTAATTTTACCAAAACAACGTTTAGGATCATAATTTTTTTCTTTTTGCAATATTTTTTAAATTTTGAAAATGACACAACATTTCCACAAAGTCTGAAATGCATTGTTTCCAATCACAAACCTTCCAATACTTCTAAATATGTTTTATAATTTCTATTGGTCCTTATGAAAGTAGTATTTGCTGTTATTGTTTATAACCACAAGTGTGCTTTTCTACTGTCTTAAGGTTTTTGTCAGAATTTGACTCTCATTTGGACCATACAATTACGGACACTACAAGTTGATGTGTGTTCTCTTTCGTAGAAGCTTCCTTCTACTGATGAGTCGCGTGGTGGCGGATTTAGGACCCATGACCAGGGCAAATTTTTTAAAATAAAATTTAATATAATTAATTTGTAAATAATAAATATTGTCATCATAGACACACACCTAGTTAGTCATGGTATATAACTAACATTATAAAGAAAATATGTTATCGAAGTTATATATAAAAATTAAATTATATGAGAATGTGATATATATATATATCTATATTAAAAAATAGATATAGATATAAAATTAAATAAATTACATACCATAAAATTTTTAAATATAATAGCAAGATTTTGAAATTTATCCTAATTAATGTGTTCAGAATTCAATTTTATATTGAACATTGTTACTCCTCTAATGATATATTTTCCATAAAAATAGGATTCAATTCAAAGTTTTAAAACTTCAAGACCAACACATTACAAATCATGTTTTAGATATTTAATTAGTTTTAAAATTATAATTTTAAAATCACAATTTAAACATATGCATGCAAAAAAAATTGTTAAAAAATATAAAATTAAACTAAACGTTTCAATAAAAAATAAACATGAAAATGGCAATATACCTCAAACATCTCTTCAATAGTATAGTAGGTTAATAAAAAATAAAAATATTTATGGAGCAAGAGTAATGGAGGCAAAAATATAAAATATTTCCTGATATGGAGATGAGTTGCTGTAGATGCACTTCACCCTTATATTTGCTTTCAATTTTCTGCTAATCTAGTCTCTCACTCTTTGCATCTCTTGTTGCCCGGCCTTATCTCTGCTTTCTTGTTTTTCAACTTCATCTATTTTTCGCTTCACATTTCACCTATAATCTCAGCTCTGTGCACTGGGTGCAAGATCAAGGGAAGTGGGGCACCTTTGAAAACTTCAGTGGGGTCAGTTGCCCATGTTGAAAATAACGTGGGTCCACCTAACTAATCTACTATATACTCTTGAGTCTTGACCACATAAATATGTGTGAGTGCGTGTGTGTGATGGGGGGTGTTTTCATACTACTACTTCAAAACACTTAAGAAACACAATCTCTAAAGTGCCAAATAAGATGCTCAGCAAATATTCTGAATATTCGAAATCAAAAAAATATTCATTCAGAATATTTAACAAGTGTATATGTGAGCCTTTTAAATTGCATGCATGGATTCGAAGAAATAACACATTATGCATAATTTGAATCTTTCTGATATAGTTGATAGATTTAACAACCCCTCTTTACAACAAGAAATCATAATAACTTAACAAGAAAGTTATAGAGAGAATATCATGAAAGATCTACGAAAGAATTACTTTTTATAAGGACATTGAACTGATTTGGTACTGTTAAAATAATAAATTTACCTATCTATTTATTAACTCTAATTACGTGTTTGAGATCTTTTAAGAAATTGAATTTATTTAGGGTATTCTCCCAAATTATACGTCCTCCTAATTTTTTATACAAGTCCTTTAAAAATGATTTTTTTTATTTACATTTCCTATTAAAATTTCAAAACTATATATTTTTCAATTATAACTTTATCAACACTAATGTTAAAAGTCTCTACACAATTAATTACTAAAATAAATTAAGTAGAATCTTGGAAAATTTGAGAGATCATTGTGTTGTATCAATCTTATAGATTTATATTAATTTAAATTTTTAATTTATTATGTATATTTTTTTATAAATCATAATTACATTTCTTTAAATTTTTTATTTGATTTTTAATTTTATTACTAGAAATTATTATTATTATTATTATTATTATTATTATTTATATCAACATCTAATACTATATATATGATTGGCTCACAAGGGAAAATAAGTAGGAGAAAAAATGTGAGGAGTGGGGAGAAAAGTTGATGGTGTAATTTTCTCTACTTATACTTGGTTGAGCGAGAGAAAATGGGAGAAAGGAAAACTTTTATCTTCACATGGACAATAATAACCTTATTTTTGTAGAAAAAATATTTACTATATAATTAAAATTTAATATTTTAACATATTATTTATATAATTTTTATTATATGTTACTAATTAAATAAAAATATAATTGTAAATTCTTTTATCTGATGCTAGAAAAAATTATTTTTTCCAATTTTAATTTTTATCGTCTGAATTAGTAAATTTTTTAATAATCTAAATTTAAAGTGAAGGAAAAATTAGAATGAAAATGAAGAGAGACAATAGGCATGAAACAAAAAAATTCATCAATAAATTTAAAAATTGAACCTTCTCTCCAAAATCTTCCCGTATTTAAAAAGAAAAGTTGAAGGTAAAAAATATATGAGTCTTACATGTTACTTTCGTCCACCAATTTCCTCACCTCTCATTTTCTTCTCCTTAACAAAGACATTTTCTCCCTATTTTTCTCTCTATGCCAAGCATAGCACAAGGGGTGTGTTTGGTTTGAGGTTATTGAAGGAAAAATGCTCCCCTCCCCCCACTTGGTTAAAAAATTTTGGAGGGGAGGGGAGCCAACATCTTCCCTCCCCTCCAGTTTAGTTCTTTTATAGGGGAGTTAAAATTTCTAATTGCCTTGTCTTCACTTTTTTTATTCATATTCCATAAATGCATGTCACCTGGACCTCACCCATTGTCATGCAGTTGCATGTTGCCATTTGTAGCCATCATCTTATTGTTTGTCGATACTTTGTCGTTCAGCTTACACTTAGGGGCAGAGCTAGATTTAAAAATAAGGTGTGCTGAGATTAAAAAAACATAATATACTATAAAAATTTTCATAAAATTTGGAGAGGCGAAAGTATGTAACATCTATATAATATAAAATAAATTTAGAATTTAGGGAATTGTGGCCTCTGCTGATTCCCCTTGCTTCTGCCCCTGTTCACATGGTAGGGTTAATGCCACTTTGCTTTCAGAATCGTCTTCAGATTGCTCTGGAAGTTTTGTTTCCCCTGTTTAGTTGCAATATATTGATTAGCTTCCAAATTCCAACTCAAACTATGTATTCTTCTTCTCTGTTTTATTTGCTTAATGATCAACACTGGTATTTAACTATAGTTAATATAAAAATTATAATAAATTTCAAAAAGAGTATAATAAATTGAAAGGAATTTTTAAATTAAACTTAAAGTTATAAAATATTTAATTAAATTATTTTATATTAATATTGATGATTTTTTTGAAAAATTAATAAATTACGTTTCCCTTTTACTGGACAAAACTTTTTTCCTTTATTGAATAAGAAATCCAAATTACATTCTTTTTTATTAAAATATTTTATATTTATTATTTATAAAACATAACAAAATACAATTTAGTAGACAAAGTATTGAAAAATTATAAATTTAGGAGAGAAAGTAAATTGAAGTTTGAATCTTACATTTAGAATAAAAGTAGAAAGTGGTTGTGTCCTTTGGGAGGATAATGTCACCAACACTACCTCTAGTGAGTATTCTGGCTCGTGATGCAGATGGATTTCACATGGTTTCTGCTGATGTTTGTGTTTGGCAACGTCACAGATGTCGATCGGAGGTGGCAGATTCATATATATATATATATATATATGCATGTATACACGTGTGTGGTGTGAGTTACCTAAATTTTTATATATAGATGTTTATATGTGTGTGTACTTGGTGTGAGTTACACTAGAATTAATTGTGAGAAGAGAAATAAACTAAATTAAAACCACAAAATTCTCCCTTGCACTCACTTTATCTGCTTCTCCAGCTGCTATCTTCTCGAACGCCATGTCCAAAAGCACCAACGTCTTCACATTCTTGGTCTTTCTCTTCCTCATGCTTTCAGCTTTAGTTGTTTCAGACGGTACGTGCAAGAAGACGCAAACATCATGACAAAAAGCCAACGCTCTCAGGCATACAAAATCGCAGCCGTAGCTTCATACGAATTGCAAGTGCGATCTGATTCTTCTTCATCAAGGCCTTCGCGCTGCCCGCGTCATATTAGCCACCGGATTCATTCACCTGCGCTCCCTGATGTATTCGACAGATTGAAGAAA